AACCCTGAACCGTAAACCCAAAACCCAAAAACCCTCCTTTTAAACCCTAAACCCCTAACGGCGCCTTTGGAGCATCCGCTCGAGGAGGCAAAGAGGCATCTGCCAGTCGCCCGCTTTCTCCGATGCTGCGATGGCGGCGGTGTAAACGACCATGTCCTGTTTGGGTTTAGGGTTTAGGCTAAACGGTTTAGAGCTTAGGGTTTAGGGCGTATACGGTTTAGGGTTTAGGGTTTAGGGTTTACTGCGATGGCGACGGTGTCAAGTAGGGCTGCAGTTTAGTTCAGGCTTATGGCTCTGAGTTCATCGGCCAAAATGTCAGGCGACTCGGTGTGAAAGAAGTATTTGTTTAGCTTGGGTTTTTCCAGGATTCTACGTACTGTGAGACCGCGCAAAAAAATCCAAGTTCAAACTTTTTACTTGCTCAGTCACTAAGTAGCCGGAACAGCTGCGAGTGCCGGCATGTTGTCGAATATCTCCAGGGCGATCCACCAGCACTCGGCATTGATGCATGCAGTCATGGCTGCACTGACAGTGACCGCATCACATTCGATGCGCCAAGCTGGCATGTTGGAGAGCAAGTGGAGCGTCTCCTGCCATTGAGATGCCTCTGCACAGGAGCTGATGGAAGAGTTGATGCTGATCACATCCGGCCTCCCTCTTGCCAGTGTCATCTCAGAAAGTAGGTCTAGGGAGGCTTGCCAAGGGCAGGAGCTGATTGCGGAGTTAAAGGAGACGACTGTTGGCCTGACTTCATGCCCTGACATAGCCAAAAGAAGACCAAGAGCTCGTTCCCAGAGCTCGTCTTCCTCAGTTGCAGCGATGGTGGCGTTGTAGCTGATAACATCCGGCAGCACACTGCTCCTGGTCATGTCCTGCTGCAGCTGCAAGGAGGCTTTCCACTGCCTACCCTTCACGCACGCCGTTGTCGCAGCATTGAAGGATATTCCGTCTGGCTGGACAGCGGTGATGGACGTGCTGAAGAGGAGCAGAAGCGATCGTTGCCACTGGAAGCGTGTTTCAAAGGAGCTGATGCAGGAGTTCTGGGTTACAGTGTTTGCAGAGACCCTGAGCAGAGGCATCGAGAAAAAAACCTGAAAAGCCTCCTGCCAGCCACTCCCTCGCTGACAAATGCCCATGGCAGCAGTGTGTGAGAACACGCTTGGGGCCAGGCCCTTCCGCGAGGAGAGAATCAGCAGCTGAATCGCCGCCTGCCACCGAACCCTCGGCGTGTTCTTCAAAACATCGCAGAGCATCCAGGTATCCGGACAGACCCGCCCACGAGGTGCGAGGGTCAAGGAGTTGAGCTCTTTCTGCCACTTTCTTTGTGGTGCTGGCTGTGCGGTCACCTGCCCATGTGCAGTCGACAGCATGGCTCACCGACGTCTCATGCGCTTGAATTCCTTTGACGGCCCAAAGCTGCGCTCACTGAGATCTGCAGGGACGGAAAGAAACGAGTAGGAGTGGGCAACGCCAAACAACGCTTTATCTCCAGAACCCTACCAGGACCCCCCAAGGGCCCTTAATGGAGCCCTTATGCCCCTAGTGGGTATTGAAGCTATATTAGAGGGTAGTTGGGGGATCTAGGTATAGTCAGGCCCTCTCGTAGGTAGGGTACGTACGGCCGCCCCAGGTGCGGCTTGAATTCTGAACACATCCGCCACGCTTGGATCCGCCAGATCTGCTTGAATGGGCACTTATCTGTATGGACTAGTTAGGACCTTCGGGTATAGACTAGACCATAGGACATAGAGTTGGTAGTATAGCATAGCAGCTTGAACTCTTCGTTTGAATTCTGCAGCAACGAGCCGGTTGGACAAAAAACAAACCAACAAATCCCTAAGTCCCTAAACACTAGACCCTACACATTACATCCCTTCCCTACGATGCGTCAGCAACAGCAAGCCCTTGCAAAACCCCTCTGAACCCCTACAACGAGACTTCTTTTGACAACGTGCTCTTCCAGGCTGCGCAACCCTCCGTTGCAACCTCAAGCCCAATGAAAACTCGCCCCGAGAAACGTCCAACTGGCACGATGTAGGGTGTATGGGGTTTAGGGTGCCTGTCTAAATTCTATAAACCCCATATGAACCCTACAAACCCTATCCCTTAGCATCAAAATAGCCCAAAGGCCTCATATGATAGGGTCTTTGCGCCCAAAAGCCTGAGGATAACGGTATACTATGCCCTATAATTAAACCCTACAAAGTCCCTTTTCAACCCTTAATTCCCCAATAAGCCAGGGAAATAAAAGGTTAAACTTTCAGACTACTACTAAACTATAAGAACCCCAAAAGTTTAAAGGTTAGGTATTGCGGAACTAAGAACCCTCGAGGATCTAAACCCTGAACCCTAAACCATAAAACCCTCAACCCTAAACCCTCAAACCCTAAACCCTAAACCCCAAAACCACTAAGAACCCTAGAGGACCCAGCTCAGCAGTCGGCTGCCGTGTAAGAGATTGCATCGGCTCGAAGGCTTCGCGCCTCGAAGCCTTCCGGGGAGTCTTTCAACGTAGAAACGTACGGCATATGAGGGCTTTAGGGTTTAGGGTTTTAGGGATTCTTAAACGTCGAAACGTACACCATATGAGGGTTTAGGGTTTAGGGTTCTGGGGTTTAGGGTTCAGGGGTTGAGGGTTTTAGGGTTTAGGAGGGTTCTGCTAACGGTTCTCTAATGCGGGCTTCGATACGGTGTTTCTGAATAATGGTTGCCAAATTTCATGCATCTGCGACCTTCGCAAACTGGGCTCTAAGCTGAGACCGCTTTCCAAGATGCTGCACAACTGCATAATGTAGGGGCCTTAATCTTTAGAAGAGGGTCTTGGGGGCTCCTTGTTACAATTATAGTACAATGGGCCCAAAACCCTATTCTAATTATTAAGGCCTCTATACTACTCTCAACACCTGGGCCTCTGTCGTAGTCTAGCCTGGCCCTGCAGCCCAGAACCTAAAACCCCCAATCGAGGCCCTATGCCCCAGACGCGCCTTGAAAAAGGCGAAGCGCTTGGCGCCAGTTCTTCCCTGCAAGATACACACTGCGCAGTTCACAATATGGGTGCACTTCGATAAAATATGTCCGAAATTTAGGTATAGTTTGGTAAATCGAAACCCTGTTCTCAAATTACCAAATCACGTCCCTCAACCCTAAACCAAACCCCGGCTTCACACCTCAACCCTAAACCCTAAACCTTAAAACCCTTAAACCCTAAACCCCTAAACCCTAAACCCTAAATCCCAAACCCCTAAACCCTAAACCCTAAACCCTTAACCTAAACCCCAAACCCCTAAACCCTTTTCCGAAGGACCCGGTCGTCATCCAAGTTCAAGCAGCCTCTGGTGGCAGCAGTGATCTCTGCATTCAGTTGGGCGACGGCGTCTTTTGACGTGGGCCGCGGCCTGTGCTTCTGAGTTCAAGGGCTGCAGTATCTATCTATCTATCTATCTATCTATCTGTCTATCTATCTACCTATATACATATAACACTTTTCTTAAACTCAACAGCCGGGCCCAAACAAGATCAAACTATCGAAAACAGGCCACGCCAAAAAGGCCATAATAAAGTTCAAAAGTTCTTCCAGTCCCTATCTAAGATAAGGGTTCTATAGGGTTTAGGGTTTTTGGGTCAAGGGTTATCGAAATGCTCTCATCTACACTGATCAAGGAAGACTCCTTATACATCTTCGGGGTCCTACCATATTTTAGTTATCGGGGGCTAGAAGATATCCCTATGGCTCAAAATAGCCTAAAGGCCTTATACAGTGTGTTCCTTGGGCCCAAACGAACCCTAAACCCTAAACCCTAAACCCTAAACATAAACCCTAAACCCTAAACCCTAAAGTGGGCCCAAAGGAGTCCTTAGAGCCTTTGGGGATGGGTGAACACTTCACAGCGCCCGAATCCACAGGTTGGCCGTCGGGTTGATCTAGAGGAGTACTTAAAAGGACTTAGTAAGTCCGCCTTTCCTTGAGGGTTCCGTTAAAGGTCTCCTTCAATGGCTCTATAAGGGATCTATAGAGCGGGTTAGGGGATCCAGGGTTTAAGGGTCTAAAGAGGGGGTTTAGTGGTTTAGGGGTTTAAGGGTCTACTTAAAGGCCTAGGAGACGTAGTAAGTCGGCTATAAGTAGGGTTATAACTAGCAGAACTGCATGTAGGGTACTTATAACTCGACTTAGAACCTACTAAACCCTAAACCCTAAGGGTCCAAGTAGTAGTCCTTATTTTATGGTTTTAAGTAGGAGTATAGGCGTCCAACTGCCACCAAAAAAACCCTAAACCCCAAACCCCAAACCCTAAACCCTACACCCTAAACCCTAAACCCTAAACCCTAAACCCTAAACCCCAAACCCCAAACCCTAAACCGTACACCCTAAACC